TACAGTTTTTCTTTTTCTTTTGAAAAACGCGCGGAAAAATATTGCTGTGCTAACGGGGCATAAGAATAGTACATCAGAAATTAAAGGCAAGTCCGCACAGGCGGAAAAAAATTGGGGCAAAAAAAATGATTCAATCAGTTTACAATTTTATTTTACTATTTTTTAATATCAAAGGCCGTTGATGGTGATTGATGATTCTTTATTAAAAAGGCACTTCCATTTGTTGACAGCGGTGTATTAAACACTATTTTTTTAATTATAATTTTAGTTCCACCCACGTAATATGGAACAGGCCTGCCGCCGTTAACATGCATTTTCAAATAAATATTCTTACACATTTCTAAATACAATAATATATTGTACTAGCGGACCCGACAGACGTTGTCCTTTCAAATTTGACACTGCGATGGTAGCGCCGTTTGTCTGATCCAATGTAAAACATTCCAAAATCAACAACTACTAATAAATTAAAAATTAATTAAAAAAACATTGTCCAGCGGACAAAATTGTGAATCTAAACCATTCCCAGATCCCCTTGAACACACACAAAAAATTTCATCAAAATCGGTCCAGTCGTTTGAGAGAAGTTCAGTGACATACACACTCAAGAAGAATTATATATATAAAGATAACCCGCGACCTCCGGTTCAGCAGTCATTGCCGCTAACCACTCCACTAGAACGTCAAACTACAAAGAACACAAATGACATAAAAAATAAATAAGAAATAAAATTTGAAAATAAAAGTTTTAGGCAAAATCAATAATTTTAAAACAATAAGGCTACATTAATTAAAGTCCAAGCCCTTTGCACCAAAACATTAGGTAACTTAATAGAAACATAAATTTTCACTTTATGCTACGTAACAAATTGCAAATGACCAAAAAGCTTTGTTTGTGGGTAAGGTACTTAGAAACCACTTTGAATAATATTTGTAATATTCTAGGACATTACACAGCGATGTCAAGACGAAAACCAACTGCATTGCCACGCAAAATGCATTTTTTGGTACACAATAAGTACTTTTTAGTTACTTATTTTAATTTTATATTTTGACTTTTATATTTAGACTTTGCAAACATACATGGAAATGGACACAAAAAACACCCAGACTCAGAACAACAATTTGTAGATCACACATAGTGTTGTCCCGTGTGGGGATCGGACCCACAACACTCAGCGCAGTAATAACCGGTGAGGTAACCGCTTAAACCACTACGGCATTCGAGCATTCACCTAATCAAGTCAATTATGGTAAGCTAAAGATCTCTTTTTCGCACACGTTTTTTAACTCTTTTTAAGGCTGTGTATAAAATGTTTTTCAAAAACCACACAAAGTTTATATGACTTCAATTCGGTTTTGAACTACAATGGGTTACGGTATTATTAGTGCCTCTAGAAGACTATACGAGTACAGTACTATACTATAGAAGGCATAGTAATTGCTGACAAAGATTTTTTGATAATCTTGATTGTTGAAAATTTAACTTTGGAAAAAGAAAGAACTTCCAAGTAAATTTAAGTTTTACATTAACGTCTCTGAGTTTTCGTTTCGTCATAATTGTCTTTGCTCTTCTAAAGAGATGAAATGTAACCGTTGATAATCTCCAGTGCATAATAAATTTGAACTAATGACGAACAGTCGGCGGAAAAAGTGGTAGCTTTAACAAATTGGGCTCAGTGCCAAATGAATTAAAACTTTGAAGGAGGACTGCAATTATAACTTCTTAGTTAGGTGCGTTTTATTATAAGATTTATAGGAAAGATAACGTGGTATGACGTTTTTATATGCCTTATAAGATAGTGAATATACCTATGCTGCAGTATTGACAAAGATATTCTTATTGAAAAAAAAGAGCAGGGTGAATTATTATTACAAATCGTAGTCATCATCAGCAGCCTTTAATAGTCCACTGCTGGACATAAGCCTCTCCTTAGAAAGGAGGTTTGGGCCTACTACCACCTTGGCCAAACGGGTTGGTATAGGGTTACAGGCGCAGAGTGGCACACCGTGTGGTTTTAGTCGGTCCGAGTCCGACACACCACCCCGCCGCAAACCCCGGAGGGGTGACGGTCCGAGGGGATTTCCACACGTTAAAAAAAAAAAAAAAAAAAAAGGGTTTGTGCCAAGTTTTCCTTCTCTCTGCAGTGCTGTTGTTCTGCGTGGTTTTTTCCTTTAGTCGGATCTTACGACACCCACGAAATGAATAGGGGTGGTGACACTCTGTATTCTTAATCCGTCACCACACGGACCCCGTCACCACACGGACCACTATTGACAATTTGACAAATCGTAGTGAAGATGTTGAGCAAATATTTTTCTTTTCAATTATTAATTGCAACTCTAGGGGGTAGGGGGGGGCGGGAGACTCAAAGAGCGCCAAGGTACTTGTGTCTCTTGAGCAGATAGGCAGCAGTCATTTACCATCAGGGCCTCAATCCTGTTATTTTGTGTTAACGTACAAGCTACTGTCATTCCATTGACACGCTATTGAGATGCCATTAATATCGGTCGAAATATCGGTATTCTATTAATATAAATTCACATTGTCAATAGACTGTCGATGTAGTGGCTATAGCTCATTAATGGTGATATTAACAACATTGAAATATTTGGCAAATATATCATTTCCTTACAAATTGAAATGTTAAAAAAAGACTATTACTATGACATCGACGACATTTGTATCAGTAGTAGCTCTGTGACAAGTTATCTCTGACTTGTCACTGAATTGCCATTGGTCATTGGTCTTACATAGTTAGTGGACTACGAAAAGTGAAAACTATTCCAACGACAGTCTATTATCAAAATATTAAAATAGCAGCATTGGGGCCATGGTGATGGTATATTATATAGGTGGTATATTATATATAATATATCTACTTGTACTTTAGGTATACTTATAATAAGTTTTTCTTACATTGACATTCTCATCAGTGGTCACTTCGTAATGGACGCAAAAAAAGATGGATCGTAAAAAATATATAATTTAGTATCGCTTAGAATAAACTAAATAATCAAAACTATCGAAAATAGAATGCTCATTTAAAACCGAAGAGATGCTTTTGTTTTATTTACTACATTTGCAGTTATGCTAATACCCGTAGCTTATTAAAAATGCTTACAAAAGCATCCTTTCATTTCGGTTGCAAGAGTTTAAAAGGCGAAATTGATTTTAAATTTGTAATATTATGCAATTCGTTTACAGACTGAATAAAGCATATAAAGATTTTCTCTTTTTTGTGTATAATAAAGAGATTATTAAGAGACATTTTTTAACCTTTATTTTCTTTAATTAATTAACAGTCAGTCAGTTAGTCTGCTTGTAATCACGGCCAGTATAACGTGATCGGCCAGACAGAAAACCAGTGATAAACATATTGTGTCCATCGGAAGTGAAGGTCCATTAACTCTGGTCATTTGATCATATCTTTAAAAAAATAAGAATTCGTTGCTTCTTTCTAATTTCAATTTAATAATAATAACATTTCGGACATCTGACACATAACGCAATCTAGTTTCAAAATTAGCAGATCTTGTACTATGAAAGCTAGATTGACTGATAGAATACTTTTATTTGTAAATACATCATACAAACATTTTGTTCGACCCGGGAATCGAACCCGAGAAATCAGCACAGCAGTCGCACACTCTACCACAGCACCACCGACACACAGAACGTTTTATAAATAATAAATTATTTCAGTATGATCACTACATTAATATGAAATAACAACAGTTGTAGTAACATTAGTTGTTTTTAGCATGAGACTCAAAGACTCGATTAAACTGCTGTTTAGGTAAGAACCCTTACTTAAAGTTTATCATCATCATCATCATCATCATCATCAACAGCCTTTAATAGTCCACTGCTGGACATAATCCTCATAGTATCATCATAGTTATCTGATTATCCCCACCCAGAAACCACTACGGGGGGACATTTAAAGCAAACAGCATTTTATTCGGTTCTCAATTTTTTTTAACTAATTATACTTTTCTTTTTAACATTTTACTTTTAAGATTACAAGTTTAACAACACTCTTAAATTAATGGCAATATTTCGTTAAATCTGTATCTGCTTAGTATTCACACGCTACTAGTATATACTTTTGTTAAATTACTAACTTTAATAACTATAATACTTGTTCAACTCCGAGTTCTCCGATAGAACTGCCTACAATAATAATTCCAGCGCTCGACGACGCCTATCCCTTTTCCTTCCGTCGTGGTAAGGCGCGAGCGCACCATGTCAGTGTTGCCACAAAAAAATAATAATAATTAAAATCCATTTACATACATTTATTTATTATTATTGAACAATATAAATATACTTCCTAACACAAGCTACGTTCGAAGTTTGAACCGATGCCTCACAGAATAGTCCAGTGATTTTAGCGATAACAGCATCACATCAACAGCCTTTAATAGTCCACTGGTGGACATAGGCCTCTTCTTAGAAAGGAGGTTTTGGCGTACTATTTTAGCTATCAAAATCGGAATAATAGCTAATAAGCTGAATTTTTGTATATACCTTCATTTTGGCGTTTTAAAAGTTGTCTTAAAAGTCTCATTTAATACCGTATTTTCGTTATTCTAGGTAAAGTAAAGAAAAACTGTTTTTCGCTATTATCTCGGTTTCTATTGCTCAATATTGTACTTGAAATTTGAAAATTATGAGCTGGACTGGAATAATAGACGTTCCGTTTTCTGTGCTTGAGCTGATATAGTTATGGTGACTTTTACAAATGATAATCATATAATCTTAGCCTGATTATTTACAAATTTAAACTTGGCAATCAATGTTTTACAGAAAATTATATTTTATTTTAATAAACCCATAGGTAATAAACACAAAGTAAAACTTGGTAGCTTTATACTGTTGCAGAAAACTCATTTTAATTGTATTTTTTATGACATAAGGGGTCAAACTAGCATATGGGTCACCTGATGATAATTAAGTGACTACCTCCACCTGCAACTCAAGAGTAACAAGTGTGTCAAGTCCCTCCCTCAAATTTTTGAGGGAAGACCCCAAAATCAAAGAGACTTATAACATAAAAGAATACGAAATCTTCTTTTTCACTTAATTTATTTACACTTACCACAGATCTGACGAGCAACTCGATGGTGAACCACACGTTGCAGACCAGCTCTATGTAAAAGAAGGCGGCATGAGGTCTCCCATTATCAGGTCTGATGTCGTTTAATATATCCGGATCAGTGGTATTAGCTGGCACATAGATGCCAGAAGGGTATACTCGGAGACCAGGATGCGTCTTCAAGCAGAAGGAGAACACTGAGACGCAGATGAAGAAGATGGATATCACCTTTATCACCTGTTGGAGAGAGATTTTGATTAGTTAATAATAATATAATAATAACGTTTATTTCTCCTCAGACTAAAGACTTATTATACACAAAATAGTGAATAATACTTAGGACATTTAATAGCAGTCTAAAATATGTGAGGAGCTGGTGTCCGAAGTAGGTTGATCCTCAATTACGAATCACCAGGACCCCAACCCTACAGTAGTTAGATTTACAGGATTTACATGTGAGTTTATTATTTTGTTAAGAATTAGTAGTTGTTTAGTAAACACAGTTTTAAATGCAGTCAAATGAATTCAGCACAGGGGATAAGTTTTTCTAGAAATAAGTATGTTTCATCATCATCATCACCAGTATCAACAGCCTATAGTAGTCCACTGCTGGACATAGGCCTCTCCTTAGAAAGGAGGTTTTGGTATAGGGTTTTTTCAAGATTTCCTTCTTTTTGCAGTGCTGTTTTCCAGAATAGTTTGCTCCCTTAGTCGGCTCTTACGACACGCACGGGATGAATATTGGTGGTGACACTCCGTATTCTTAATCCGTCACCACACGGACACTATGTAAGTATGTTTAATGATGAAGAAGTAAAATTAGCCGTAAGCTCCCCAAATATAATAAAATAAAAATAAAATAAGATCTTAGGATGTAAATGATATTTTAGGTCAAGCATTGATCCGTATTAAAATACACCATTAAAAAAAAAGCACAGATGTATTTTTAAGGATTTCTACGAACACCAGGTTTTCCAAAAAAATAATAATACAAGGCCTCGTCCAAAACCTTGTAAATAATAGAATTACTCCTTTTTGATTTCGTAAAACTGATAAGTTTCAAGTAATAGAGAAATTATATCCGTATATAATCTGTTATATACATATACAAAAAGATAAAATATCTTTATAGAATACTCGAAGGGCTCGTAGACCATTGACCATTCTTAATAACCATCTGTGGTAATCTTAACGTACCCTTAACCACGTGCCACGGCTACTCTACTCTATTCCAAATACCGTTGGAACCTTAAAAAGGCCAACAACAGTATTTCTACAGAACTTCGATATCGTCTAGTACTTGGGTTATGCACATCTGAGAAAATCTAGGTTTAGTAAACCTAGTTTGCAAAAAGGCTCGGCGGAAAAGGCTACCTTTCTGAAATTACACCCTTACATTATTGAAAATGCAGGTATGGTTCAATGGTTTAAATGTATAATCTATAATCTGACTTAAAAATCGCATTAATTAAGTATGTCATCATAATAAATACTTTTCATATTATGCATATTGAAGTATCATTCTCTTGACAACTTTACTTTCTTCACGAATTAATAATAATAATAATATTGTACCACATTCACACAATGCCATCTAGTCCCAAACTAAGCAGAGCTTGTAATATGGGTACTAGACAACTGATATAAATACATATATACTTTTTTTTGTAAATACATACTTATTATACGTAGAAACACCCAGACCAAATCAAACAACAAATGTTCATCCCACCGACGATCCATAATAATTAATAGTTCATAATCTCTCTTTAATCTTCAAAATTTTATCATAATCTTAAAATAATAAATAAATTCTTGACTTTTATAAACGACTTTATGATAGAAAATCGTAATCCATTAATCATTGTATTTTTCGGTTTCGGTCGACAATTTAAGCTAGCACAATTTGGATTTTTTTAAATCTTTATACAGCCTAGATTTAAATTCGAAACAATTTTCTTTTTTTTATTAAAATATGCCTCGGACTGCGTGTTAAATATATATTATTTAACTATACAATATTGTTTTTTTGCATTAGACAAATTTTAAGTTTTAGTTAACAAAATAAATCCAGTTATAGCTTATCTTCTATTTGAAGTCGCGTGCATAGATTAATGCTTATCTTTTCAACCTTAAAGTCCTTAAAGTTATCTAGATTTTACCAATAGTGACACGTAGGCTGCATGTGGCTAGAGCGGTGATTGGGCTATTTATGTGTAAGCTATAGGTAGATCTTCTGAATGTTTGTTTGTATCGTAAGAGTGTATGCCTTAATTCTAGTAGAAACTCAATTTGTGGCCGTTATGTTACGTTTTTCTTAAAGTTATTACAAGTCATTTTATAACTAACAAAATTTAATTGTTCATATCACATCATAATCATTATCAACAGTCTTTTAAAGTCCACTGACATAGGCCTCTCCTTAGCAAGGAGCTTTTGAAATTCGACGTTGTGGCAGCGAAATAGCGTCGAATTTCAAACGAACTTAGTTTTAAGTTCGACGCTTCGGCAGCGCTGTACGCAAGGCCTTAGAGAATAGAACTGCCGATACTTTAAAAGTTTCGAATATAAAGGCTTACTACTCAACAATAAACTGTCGCTAATGTATTTCTTCCTAAGTTAAAACAAATAATCACAAAGGCAAACAGCTTTTGACATATCCTAAGACCTAAATAAACAGGGTTGTTTGTGTGTAGACAATGCTCTCACCCAACTTTGTTTTCATAGGAAAGATGAAAGCTGTACTAGATTATAAGAAACATTCACTATGATTAGTATTCACTATGATTTATATATGCGTAAACAGGTTTAGAGGAAATCGCCTTAAGGGATTTTCAGTACTGAGACAGGTTAATCCGTGACGTATCTGTTACGTAACTATTTGATATGTTTGTTAGAGGGTTAACTGCTGAGTAGTGAACTTACTAGCGACAGGGTTAAGTTACGTATCTGATCCATATAAATGGGCGACATATAATAATCTATTATGATACCAAGGTTATACATTTGTTTATCTAGTAGCTATTAAATTATGAGTTTGGGAATATTGAACGGGTGAGCGAAGAGCAAATGACTTTAAGATCACCTGATAACTAGGCGAGTCTATGCTGGTAGGCCCCGAAAACATAAAGACACTAACAGGTATACCGAAGGCCTCATTAACACCCCCTGACTGGCGAGTAAGCGTGTATGTCAGTGTGTATATTGTTCGAGTCCCCGATTCCCTAAAACTTTACTTAAGACAGTATTCGATGCAAAAGTATAAGAATATTTTATATTGAAGACTTCGTCTTAAGTTTTTTAACCAACGGATTTGGTAATGGTATAGGGAGACAAACGAGCAGACGAGTTACCTGATGGTAAGGGTCAGAAGTGCATGACCATCCTTTGATCCTCTCCTAAGATCAACTCCCCCCCCCCCCCCCTCCATATGAAGATGGGCAAGGCGTGGTCGGCTCTCCGATAACCTCACTCACTCGGTCAATAGCAACGATAGCATTGCTTAAAACCAGTTATCTGAGAGACCGTGGTATCACATCGGCCAAGCAGGCCTATTTGGACTGAAGCATGTCACTTCCCCCTTAATATTTCCGGCTATAATATTAACCTAAGTTACTCCCTATATAGTCAGCTGCTTGCTGGTAAAATCTTATCAGAATCAGTACAGTCGTTTCAATGATTTGCTGGAATAAACAGGCAGAGAGACAAACATTTTAAAAACTGATTTTTGGCATACTCGCTGAATGAATAAAAAACTATTATTTTGATATTACAAACAGACTCTTGAATTAAAATTTTTTTTATAGATAATTCTTTGTTTGCCTAAAATCGAAAGGAGTTACGTGCAATGGAAGAGGAATATGTCCAGCAGTGGACTGCTATAAACTCATGATGATGATTGATAATTCCCAAATATCCCCATAAAGTGATAATCCCAATATTTTTGAATAATAAAGTTACCCAAGTGAGGGATATTCGCAATAGAATATACATATAAGGATTGTTGAATTTCCAGTGTCGTAGGTTGTGCCAAGAAGAGAGCAAAAATTCACTCACGTCCTTACAACACGTATTTTGTTCCAAAATTAGAACCTTGAAGTAAAGTAAAAATACTCAGTAGTGAAACTCTTTTTAATTCAAAGAAATGTCGCTAATAGGACTCTTACTTCCAGTAGTTAGTTCAGACTAATATATGTGGTTGTAGTCTCCCAAAAACAAGGTGATAAAACGATGCTTTTATAATATAGAATTATGTATGAAGACTGAAAATACATATTTTTTTAAAGGATAACCTGTTGGATGGCCTTTAAAAAAACTGTAATCTAAGCCTTGATGGGTTTAAACTAATTTATATTTTAAGGTTACCATCTTATATATTAAATTCTCGTGTTACAATGTTCGTTCCCGTACTCCTCCGAAAGGGCTTGACCGATTCTCATGAAATTTTGTGTGCACATCGGGTAGGTCTGAGAATCGGCTAACATCTATTTTTCATACCCCTAAATGGTAAGGGTGACCCATCCCTATTTTTTTTTTGTTTTGCAATACAACGTTTGCCGGGTCAGCTAGTATTATTATATTTTATGATGTAGTCTTAATTAAAGGCTGCCACGGCATGCATTAAACATAAAAGTAGGAAATGCAGTTACAAAACTGATTTAACTTTTCCAGTAACATTAACATTTAAGCCTTTGCAATGAGAAATATATCAGCAGTGATTAATAATCTAGAAAGAACGAAGGCATGTAATGTTTCAGGAGACGTAGTCAGGGATAGGACGAAGTGGAAGAAGTATACTAAGTGGGCTGACCCTATCACCATGTAAGACAAAGAGTCAGGAAGAGAAAGAGAGAGAGAGTTTTTTTTCTCTATTCTGTATTAAAAAGACAACTCCCGCATTAGGAATATATTAATGTGTCGCGGGGGACTTTACTAACATCGATGAAACGGACACAAAGAACACCCAGACTCAGAACAACAATTTGTGGATCACACAAATTGTCGTCCTATATGGGATTTGAACATACAAAACTCGGCGTAGCAGGAAGCGGCGTGCAGTAGCACACGCCATCCGTGCAGTCTTTCTTTTTTAAAATAATATTTTAATTAATAATCTTACAAATAATAATAATAAGTTAATCAAGAAGGACATCTTCCGAACCAGTTAGATCCTGTACTATTGTACCAGACGGCAGATTAATATACTTTGAAATATCTAAGAAATAATAAAAATACCA